GAAGCGATCCCTATTTCACTGGATGATAGACGGGATGACCCTTAAGACTTGGTGTAGTATGGCGTACATCGGCAAATACACAGTTAAGACACTCTTGGGGCTTCTGAGTAGATAAATTTAAGATATAAAATGAATCATGTCTATTAATTATCATGTTAAATCTGCTGAAAAATCAATAATCCTTTAATTAATATCATGAGTTACAGTGTTGCTACCAAGCGTTTGCTCTTCTTTACCCCTACCGACAATTATCATGTGATTTAGACACATTCAATGATGTTAGCAAAAGAACATCTTATAGTTGGAGGTAAATATGCTTTTAAAGGCCCATGCACTTTAGCCGAAGAGCTCGTGTATACCCTATCCCTTCGCAATTTTTGAGCTTGAAGTTCCGATATCCTTTCTTTCTTAACTGCAACCTTGCCGCTCTTAGCCACAAATGTCCGATGAGCGGCGCGAGAAGCCAGCTAAAAACACATAAAAATTATCTCGTAAACTGACCCAAAAGGAAAAAAATAAAATAAAATAAAAAAGGAAAAAATCACGGTGAAAATGGGTGATAATAAGTTATCAGTCGCCGCCAAATCGCCATCCCCGTCCTCAAAAATGTCGGATGTGCATCTCTCACAACCTCGATCGCAATCGCCAATGCCGGCCATCGCAGTGCAGGCGCAGCGCAGACGCAAATATCGAAGTCCCCAAAACCCCACAAACCCGCCTCCCCATAAAAACCTACCATTGCACATTCTGCAACCACCTCCTCCTTACCTCAACCCGCGATCTCTCCGTCTTACCCCGCCGTCGCGAGCCGGCGCGTGACCGGGCGTTGATATTGCCACTTCCAAAAACCGGAGTGGGAGAGGAGGAAGAAGAGGATGAGGATGAGGAGGACGCGGACGAGGACGAGGAGTCCGAAGATGAAAACGGGTGTGAAGCTACAGAAGAAGCTGTGGGCAACGACAGCAGCAATACACAACAAGGCACTGGTGAACCAACAGCAAAAAGTAAGGTGAAGAAGAGAACTAAACTGGGCTCAACACAAAAACAGCCGGAACAGCAGCAACAGCATTACACCATCCTCCTCTCCACAACGATACCAGACCGCAAACCAATCATCATCCGACGCGAAGATGGATTTGAGAAGCGGCTAATGCTGCGCTGTGGGCGGTGTCGGGTTGTGATGGGGTATGCGCTGGACGAAGTCCATTTTCCGGATCATAACGTCGGGGCTGGGGCTGGGGCTGCTGGGAAAGATGGCGGAGATGGGAAAATGGGGGATGGAGAGAATGATGGAGATGATAAGGTGGAGAAAGCGCGGGAGATAAGGAGAAAGAAGGCGGAGGAGGTTGTTTATATTTTACCCGGTGCGTTGGTGGAGACGGGAGAGATGGGGAAAGGGGCTATTAAGGTTGAGACGGAGGAGTGGGCAAACTGGGAGAAAGGGGCAAAGTAAGAGGGACGACTTGTTATGAACACGGTTGGGACCGTGGGTTATATATCACAAGGCCTTTCCTTCCGGGTGAGAAAACTGGAAAGTTGCTGTCCATGCAAAATATTACCTACATGAACAAGTTGATGTCAAACGTGCATCTGACACTATGTTGATAAAACGATCATCCATAAGAAACTATTATGTAGCATTATGATAATGGGAAAACAAAGGGGTTATAACCATAAAAACATGAACAGAACAGAAACAAAAAGCACTGGATGTAAGAATCTATCGAGGCCCCTGCCATCCAACCGATTGTATCAGCGCATCGTGATAATGTATCCTATGTGTTATAACCCAGCCCTCCAGACACCTATTCATAAAAAAGTCATTTCGCCATAATGGAAAGCAATCCTAGCCCAGTGCAAAAACAATCCACCTAACCCACGATGTCTTTCTCTCCATTCTTGCTTTATTTCGCTCCAAATATCACTCCCACAATCTCGGGGGAAAAAAGATAAACAAGTGGTAATTCGAGCGGGAGACTGTGGTCCGGGGACAAAAAGAGAAGACGAAGGGTATTTCGAAAAAGAACAAGCACAGGGACAAGAAGCGAATCGAAAACATCTCATCGTAGGCCGTAGGTCAAATTTTTCGAGCAATAAAAGGAGTTATAAGTATTGGGACAGGAATCGCGGTAATATTTAGTTGGCAAGAATTGTCCGGACCAGTTCTAGATCGCCCGGTATTAGATATTGTATTTATTCACGATTGCGTGGGTAGGAATCTAAATAACATACCTGTGTAGTTGATCTCTCCGGAGCTCGTGTCAACAGCCTTGAGAAGTTCGTCAACTTCATCATCGGTCATTTTCTCACCCAGGTTTGTGAGAACTGTAGGGAAGGAAAGGGAAAGGGAAGAAGCGGAAGACATTAGTTAACCTCCATGTAACATTCTTTTTCAGACCCGTAGAAAAAACAACGGCGCAGCCACTCACTATAACGCAGTTGGCCCACGCCAATAAACCCAGTCATATCTTTGTCAAATACCTGGAATCCGCGACAGTACTCCTCTGGTTCACCGGGGTCACGGAAGCCGCCTGGCCGGTTGAGGACTTTGGAGAAGGCTTCGAAATCAACTAGAATCAAGAGAAAGAGTCCCAGTGTTAGCTCTCTCCGATCCCCACCTGCTGGAATTATTGATAAATATATTATTTAACATTCAACTCACAGTCTCCGCCAATGCTCTTCTCTAGATCACCGATCTCAGCTAGGGTGGGGTTCTGACCGCAAGCGCGGAGAAGATCGCCCAGTGACTCGAGGGCAACACGACCGTTTCCTCGCTTATCGAAGAGCGAGAATGCTTCTTTGTAGTTTGTGGACGCCTGTTGTTGATTATCCTGGTTAGAATGCATGCGCTGGAGGGACTGTGAACCATCCATGACGACTGCTGCTCCTGTTTTAAAGTTTCGCAACAGAGAAAGACGATACAAAAGGAGCAGTATATAATAATAACAACAAAAGTAGAGAGCGCTCAAGAGGAGATTTGAAAGTTGTAGCGTATTTTAAAATGCGCGGACTCCTGGAGGCAGGAAAACAGGTTTCAAGTGGGAAAAAACCAGAGAGTGGGATAATCAACGAGCAGACGAGTGTTCCCTCTGCCGGCTATGAATTGTTTGGGTCCCAGGCTCTGGGTTGAAGCTTCCTTTTTGCCGCAGATACTGCGGACGGGACAAGGTTTCGGCTGCAACCCTGGGACGAAGAACATGAGGAGAAACACAGTGCGACTCACCATTGTGTGTGGTTATGCGGAATACAGGGGTTAGAGGGTTAAGCTGTAGAAAAGCTGTGAAAAAGCTGGGTCAGTAACTTGGGATAGCGAGGAACCGCGAGAAAATCTTCTCAGGAGTTGTGGTTTCGAGGGTTGTTATTGACATGTGTTGGGGATGGACGAACGAGGGACGCGGGATGTTGGTTACCGCAACAACCATCGGTGCACTAGTATTATTACTGTGTATGTTTGTGAGTTCTGTTGTGATGTCTCTATCTAACTATCAACATGCACTCAGTTGTATATTCTTCCTCCTCTGCCTTAATATCCACCTTGTTCTACCTGTTGGCGCATATTCACCAAGAATGAAAACCAGCCAACCCCTCGTAGACTCCACCAGTAAGTAACCAGCTGGCTTGGAAATAGTACTTGCGTAGCAATGCACACAGTTTGTGAGACTTGGCTTTTCTATTTTGCTAGGATGTACGATGGCTAGGATACCACCCAGACAGCGTCTTTGGATGGGTTTCAAAAGATAGCTCTGCAAGAGATGCAAATCGGTGAGTTATTTACCTTACATCTGTGCTGCTAAAGCTGCTTCGTGTCCCTGCATTGGTGCAGAGCTCTCTCTCTCCCTAATTCATTCATTCATTTTAAGACCTCCAGAATCCAGAATCTGACCTGTAGAGTTCCCTCTCAATGACAACGATGTATCAAATGTTAACATATATAAATATCTTTGCCAAAGGACATCACAATGCGATAGACTTCAGACATACCTGACACAGGATGTCTTCACTCTTGGAGAAATTCTTGTATGTGTCCAGAGGCACTACCCTGTTCATCCTAGACCCACGACAAAGCGAAGAGCCAAAAAAAAAAAAAGAAAAGAAAAGAAAAGAAAAGAAAGGAAAGGAAAAGGCCGGAAGAAAACAAAAGGCGGGGTATTTCGGTATGAAAAAGCGGGAAAAGAAAAAGAAATCAGCAGAAACACAACATTCAAACCCAAAACGAGATATCGATATAATTAAGGAATCTTGTCTGTTTGTGCTTTGCAACCCCATGCTCCGTTTCTCCTCGAAACAACATACATTCCTTAATATAAGGCAGATGCATAAAGCAATTTGTCCCAGAAATCAGAAACCAAGGACAAACCGTCGCTAATGCCAACCAAAGGGAAGAAATGGAAAGAAATGAGAAGGGAGAAAGAAAGAGAAAGAAAGAAGAATCTGAGAGCACTCATTCCTATATTTCCTTCTCTGTTTTTCGTATGTTATCGTACCTTTTCCTTCACATCCCTTGGCGGGGAGACAACAAATACTAGTAGCATATGGGGGTGATATAAATGACACAGTAGAATGTAAAATAAATGGAAAAAGCGGATGTATATCAAACATGACGTAGTTCATGGCGTAAATTAGTGAGCAGGAGGGAGAGGAAATGGCACACCACGGTATGAGGATCAGGCCTGGGTTTCCATATAATCAACTAGACCGGAGGAAGTAGGCCAAAAATAATATCAAGAGAAACCTGAGCGCATAGATTTTTATGAAGAAGTGTTTGTTTGAGCACCAGAACCCTTCAATTTCTCGATACAGCTTCCCATCAAATTTGCAGCCTCATGGAGAAGTTCCCACCGCGTGTACGAGAAAGACTCTTGCAAGGTCATCAGCAGGCCCATGCAGCGATTCCGGCCGCGGATATGTAGAAGCTCTTCCGGCGTGCGTACGCCGCCAACCCGATCGAGAAACTCGTGCATATCCCGACGTCGCTCGTCCGGGGTGGAAAGTTCGGGCACAGGCGCGCTTATCGGTCCATCGAGCGCGTACCCATAGCTCCAGACAACAAGGGAGGCAAAATAAATAACCCACGGCCGATTGAGGAGGAAATCATCACGGGCGCTGTACTCGTTCAAATCCAGGTATCCCGCGGAACCATGTTGTATCACCGTCCGGCCATCTTCGGAGATAAGGACTTGGGTGAGAAATTTCACCGCGAAGAAGGCAGCGTCTCGAGCAGCTGCCTTGTTTGCCCAGCGTTCTGTCATTTTCTCCCGCGTTGTGCTATAATCCTTGGGAGTAATGGATCGACCAAGCAGGCGGCCGGCTCCAGCAAATATTTGACAGTCAACCACATCAACATGTGATGCCATGTGCGCAAGATGGTGCAAAACTGTACGAGACTCGAAGATAACATCATCATCCACGGAGTACTGTCGGAAGGCGGAAGAATAGTTCGACGGGTTCGATTCAAGAGCATCATCAAAATCACGCTTCCAGTTATCGTATGAACGCAACAGAGACGACCTCCACCTATCCCGTCCTCCCAAAGCTTGTGCGACACCTAGTGAACTAACTTGGAGATCTCGTTGATTCATATGCCAGCTGACGCTAGTAAACCAGCCATTAAAATAGTCCGGCCAAATGAATTTGTTCGTACTTTTCTGTCCATTAAGCGTCTTTTTCAGCATAGGAAACATGATTGCCTTGGCCCCGTTGGAATGTAGACTTTGATTGTACTCTTGCGACTTCTGCAGCGCTCGTTGCTGACCACAGTGCTTCGTCGCAGGGCAGCGGAAGACGCATCTCATGGGCAACCATTTTCGCGGAATGTCCAAACATCGTGGCGTGTGTTGAATCCAGGACGAAGGCTGCAAACGCCACTCTGCGCGTGGCTTCTGCTTTAATCCAATGAGCCCAAGATTCCTCACCCGCCCCGGATTCAGAGGCAGAATTGGTGCCGGAGCCAGTTGTCGATCTGTTTTGCCGGTCATCTCGAAGGCTTGGCGGGGAGTCAAACGCCGATCGGCCTATCAACGAACTTCCTCGCCGCATCAAGGTTAATGTGGTATCGTGATGGATATGAGCACGTTCGTGCAAAGCCCGTGTTGAATACAGCTTCTCGCAAATTTCGAGGAGTAGCAACGTCTGGAACACCCAGAGCTTTGCAGGTGGCTGGAAATCCACGTCCATAAAAATCTCCCACCGGATGTGCCAGGCTAAAAAGTTGGCCCAATTCAGAGGCTGCCTCAGTAACGTGGTGTCCATGGTTCTTGTCAAGGGTCGAGGCACCAATGGCCATAATCGCCAAGAGGAGGAGATTCGGCGTTTTATCAGCTGAGAAGGTCGGTTTGTGTAAAATGGGTAGCTGGTCATGGGTATGATACCAGTAAGCAGCAATGTAGGTCTGCATCATTCGTAGGCTGAGAAGGTGCCCATCGTCATCAATATCACCGTCAAGCAAAGCATCCTTTCGCGTTTTCATTGCTGCCTGGTTAGTTTCGTTGAAGCGACTTTGGATAAGCTCCAGCAGCTCATTCCGCTTCTCATCCGACATAATCGACTGGGGAGGTCCCGAGTCAAGAAGGCTCGTTACGCTCATTGGGTGTTGTGGCTGAACTACGTTTGTAAAATAGCTGGTCAAGGCCGCATCACTTGGGTAATAAGGTCCCTGGAGTTGAGCAGAGGCTTGGTCCGCGTAATTGGGCACCATGCCAGGTGCATTGGGATAAGCAATTGGAGAATTATTGTTTGAATGTTCATTAAACAACCAAGCAGTAAAATCATCAGTCATCGCGAAAGGAGATCTGTTCAGTGTTTCACCACCAAATATGGGAAGAGAGTAAGATGATAAAGCATCCCAGTCTGACACGGAGGAGCCGGGAACCATAACACCAGGGGAGGGGTCGAGAGCATTTAAACCGCTGTAATGTTGCATTTGCAATGGATGCAGAGGTGGCCCTTGTCATAC